TCTGCGTGCTGCAGGGCAACCTCTGGGCCACCGCTGGGCTCCAGGGACTGCAGGGGCTCAGCCTGCTGCCCCACCATGGGCCACAGGGGAGTCTGCACTGGCACAGCTCCCTGATACAAAATTCAGAGCTTCCAACCCCCCTTGCTTTCTAACGTTCCTCACCAATGTGGGAGGCTAGGTGTAGCCGGGTAAGGATTCCGAGATAAAAACTCAATAAGAACAGGGTGTTATTAAGGAGGCATTCTTTATTGCAGCACTGGGGATGTTCCACTGAGTGCTCCAACGGGCTAGCAAAACACATCAATTCATATACATAAAAGTCATACCTGTTCTTCAGATTTCTTGAGAAGGGCAGTCTTATGGTGATGAGTTCCCGGAATTCATTTATATAGTCCAAGCATGCGCAGTAAATTTAGGGTTAGGGTCTTTTCATCCTCCAGTGGTCGCTCATAGTCTTCCTGCTCCTTCTTGAGCACAAGCGAGGGCCCCTTTTCTGATGCAACCTTCCCTTGTAGGGAGCAGTTGTGTAGATGTTTGCTGGGCTTTTCCTTGACATCTGGCATGTGTAGATAGCTTTGTCTCCTTGATGTCAGACAAGATGTTATCTAGTTACCAACTTTGCTCAGCAAATAGCTAAAACCATCCTTGTGGGGGAAGAAAAACTCAGGAAAACAAAGACCAAGGGAAACTAAACAGATGACGGTGAGGCCTTAGTCAGGGATTGTCAGGCTTTAGCTCTTTCACCCCCCTCTCATTCCTCACTGACCTGGGTGTCCACAGGGCTGTTTCTCTCACATCCCACTCCTGTTCTCCACTCACAAACAAAACCTCGTAAACAAAACCTTGCACAACAGGTTTTTCCCCTCTTAAATGTGTTTATTTGCAGAGGTGATGGTTGGCCTGGCCTTGGCCAGGGGCGGGTCAGAATTTGAGCCGGGAGAGCTTCAAGAAGTTTCTTATTAGAACTACCTCTGTAACCCCCTCCCCTGCTACCAAAAACCCACCAGACACAAACCCAACACAGATGGTAAAGCTGCAGTTATTTCTGCAGACTGATGGAGCAGGCATTGCATCAGTTGACAGTTGGCTTGAACCTGGGAGGTTTGTATCACACGAAGGCCAGTTTCTAAGAGAATTAAGAGATTCTGTAAAAACTGATGGCCTTCCCCACTTATCTGCTCTGAATAAATGCTGCAAGGCTTATGTTTTCTTAAATCGTAGAACAGTTGAGTTTGGAAGGAACCACTGAAGGTCATCTTGTACAACCTACCTACGAGTTAAGTTTGAACAATGCCTTTGCAAATGTGTGCACTCTTGGTCATAGTAGAGTATGTAAATGAGTCGTAGTGGGCTAGGTGGATAATTGGTCTGGCCTAGCAAAGCATTTCTTGTGTTTTTAGGTTAAAGTCAGTTGTTGCCTCATTCTAATCAGAGCTGGTAGTTTGAGGCTTGTTTTGGACAGTGAAAGCATAGTTTGCTATACAGTAATACAGTAATGTTATATTAAGCTTTGCTTTTTATTTTCCACAGTTTACTTCAACTTTTTTTGTTAAACAGTAATATTAAGAAAATTTAGAAAGGTTCTCCAAAAAGAATGATGATGATAGTAAGTAATGCACAGTTGTTCTATGCAAGTGGTTTGAAGACCTTTTTAGACATGTTGCATAACTTACTTAAAACAAAAGTATTAGCATATGGTTTATTTTGTGCAGCTGTCTTTGTGAGGGATGAAGGGTAGAAGAGAGCAGAGAGGTCATTACACTGTAATATTGAAAGTGTTGAACCAGACTGCAGAAGAAAGTGAAAGTAAATGAAAAACAGCTTCAGCTAGTACAAATCAAGAACTCATTTTCAAGTTTTCATGTGCTGCCCCCCCCCCGTTTTTTTTCTCCAAAATAGATGCCTGTGAATGCTATTAAAATCCCTTTCTTGTGTAGCACTGAAACCTCTGAACATCTGCTTGCCTTTATTTTCGATGCATTCCTTTGTACCTCATAAACACAAGATGTTGTTGTTAAAACATAAAGGCTAGGTATACTTTTAAGGTACATGTGTATACATTATTTATGGGAGCAAACATGTATTATTCTGTTCTGTAACATTCTGTCGTTTTGGTGTATTATTGTAGTCTAATGAATTTCTGTTTTAAAGGCAAAAATGTCACAGGTTAAACAAGTGGGACTTTTAGCTGCTGGATGTCAGCCATGGAATAAGGATGTATGTGCTGCCAGTGGGGACAGATTTGCCTACTGTGCTACCCTTGCTATTTATATTTATCAGGTAAGATTATTTTTGTTTAACAGACTAGTTACATTTTTACATTGTTGTCTGTCTCAGTTTGAACACCTTCAATAAATGTTTCTACAATGCTTTTGGACGTGTGACTGCTGCTGAGAAGATGTCTATGTAAAGCTCAATCTTCCATTTAAGATACCCCTTCCAAATTATTTTTCTCCTTGTTACAGGTAGTGCAAAAGATTGATGTAAACTTTATATTTGAAGTTGTATGTGTCAAGTATTATTCCTAAAAGACAGGCTCTCAATCCAGCTAACACTTGAGATGAATGAAATGCAGTGATAGAAGAGCAGGTTCTCAGAGAGAAATGAAGCAGTTCCACAGTCTCATTTCAACCTGTAGTGTAAAAGTAATCTTTTGAAGTAGTTTCATCCACAGTGCAAAGTTTTGGATGCAGTGGCCTACCTTGCTTTGCTTTGGAACAAGTCATTACTTTCTTCTTTTCTGAACTGCTCAGCACCGTGGTCTTCTGAAGTTCACAGTTACTATACATCAACAACCAAAAAAAAATAGAAATGCTGTAACATGCGAAATTTTCAGACTGAGAAATATGTCAGGAAATAAAAGATGCACTTATTTTAATTTCATGAGTTATATGCTAGTAGGATTAAATAAACAAAATATATGATGTCAAGTTTTGGTATTTGATTTTTTTTTTATTATTATTTTTACTAAGTGATTTAAGAAATGAGAAGGATTTCAAACTCATTTTTATATTCTGCCCCATTTAACCACTTGTAAATTACTGAATGTTTGTTACCATGCTTATAAATAAAGCATTTTAGGATTGTGTTTGAGTGCAGTTATTACTGGAATAAAATAGTTTATAAGTGACAAGAGGATAGACTATGTTAATACTGGTTGGGCAGATTGAATATTTGACAACTTTTCTGTCCAACTCAAATGTATGAGAATTTAATTTATGGAGATGTCAGGTACTGACAGTTGTTAAATCCACTATAAATTCATCTGTAAGTCTTAATACTGTTATATGAACTATTCTCCAACCTAACAGTACTTCAAGTGAGTTTACACAATATGTATTTCTAAAATGAATTTTACTTTTTATTTAGCTGGATCACCAATACAATGAATTCAAGCTCCGGGCAATTATGTCTGAGCATAAGAAGACAATCACAGCCATATCTTGGTGTCCTCACAATCCTGACATGTTTGCAAGTGCCAGTGCAGATAGTTTAGTGATTATTTGGAATGTGACTGAACAGAAAGTTGTGGCCAAGCTGGACAATACAAAAGGTATTTCAGACATGGAGATCTATTTGATCCATACAGCTTTTTCATCCACAGGTATCAGAAATACTTGATATAGAGTAAACTCTAGGCAGTTGGTAGGCCAGAGGTTTAACAGTTGCATAACACAATATTATTGTCAGCTTTGTTGCAGTTCATTTTAGAAAATAATGATGATGTGTTTGAGTAAGTTGCTCTGAATCATATAGTAATTGGTAAAGAAAGAGGTTATTCTTTTTACTAAAGTACTTGACCAATTCAAGAATTTACTTTGCTGTTGATTTCTTGTTGAGTAGGAAAACCCCCATTGTTTTCCGTCGCTGTATAAAAGGATAAATAATAAAGTTTTAAACCTTGTGTGTTTTCATGATAACTTTACAGACGTGAAAGCAAATAAAACATAGCCTTCAACAGGTTCAAGTATAAATTTTCAGTGAATTTGAAAAACAGATTTTGTTTAAATACCCTAATACCTAAATACCCTGCATCTTCTCTCAGGACTTGAAACTACTGATTTGGAGATTGTAATAGAAGTCTAGGGGGTTAAAAGTCTGTGTCTGTCACTTTTCCCTGCCCGGTTCTGATTTCTTCCCTTCAGTCAAAATCAGTACCCGCATTTCTGTTCTTACAGTTAGCCTCTGCAGGTGTCCTTGATTCCTACACTTACATTCTTGGAAAACAGGTGCAACCCAAGAACAGTCAGTATTTCAGAATCTTCTAAGACATTTTGGGAACCTTTACTCTGTTCTTTCCAGAGCACTTAGGATATCTCTGAAAGTCTTGTACATCTTGCATATCCTGTAAAAGGAATAGGCAGGGAAAAACCCACACTGATTTCATCTGACCTAAAAGGAGCATTTAATCAACTTTATGCATTAATATGGCAACTCATACTTGTTTTTCAATACATTACTTGTTTAAAAAACTACTTCAGCCAATGTTTACATATGAAAGAAGTGTTATTATTATTTTAAACTTTTTAAAAGCTAATTTACTTTTAGGATAATATGTTTAAACCTCCTGTTAATGCTGCATTTACTCTCTTTGACACTGCCGTATTAAAATGTCTAAATACAAACAGTTTTGAGTTTTCAGCTTGAGGAGTTTCTCTTACTGTCATGTATTCCTTCATATGTTACTAAGTTATGAGGACAATGAGAGTTGGAGACAGTAAGGTCAAAATCCTTAAACTGGAATGCCTGCAGTTAGGTGTTAGGCAGCTGCATGAAAACTGTCATATATCCAGAAGGAAGCTATGAAGCTTCCCTTTGATTACAGAGCTGGCTTTCCAATTTTGTGACAGATACCTGCCTCTGTTATATTTAGCTCTAAATTAAGTTTCATTGTTTTTTACAAAAATAGACATTTTGAAGTTTTCAGTATTTTACCGGCTTAGTAGCAAATAGCTTACAGTAAACCACAATGGTCAATGGAATTGTGAATGAATGAAAGTATTGTTTACAGGATCAGGCTTATCCTCGTTCATATATGTAATTGTCTTTGGCACTAATTAAATATATAATACAGCCCATCAAAGTATTATTCAAATAATTTGGGAAATTTCTACCTCTTGCCTATGGATATGTGTGGTTTACTTTTACACCATAAGATGTTCACACAGTTATCTAAATTTCAATCTAATCATTCTTATGTAGAATAATTATTTCTACAGATTTCAAGGCAATTACTGATACTGGGTCAAGCAGTAATACACTGAATTTCATATGCTGGTTCTTACAAGGCTTACCTGTATGTTTCAGGAATTCCTGCGTCACTTAGCTGGTGCTGGAATGCAGGTGATGCGGTTGCATTTGTGTCCCACAGAGGTCCATTGTTCATTTGGACTATCTCAGGACCTGACAGCGGAGTAACTGTGCATAGAGATGCACATAGTTTCTTGTCAGATATCAGTCTGTTTAGATGGCATCCAAAGAAAAAAGGAAAAGTAGTGTTTGGACATACTGATGGAAGCCTATGTATTTTCCAGCCAGGTAAAAACTGATACTGTAAGATATTTTTTTAATATACATCTATCTATCTATCTATCTATCTTTTGTCTCTGTATATGCATGTAATTCTGCACGTTTTTCATTTAGGTTTTATAATACGTGTACATATATAAAACTTGTTCTTAGTACATAGTATTCCTACTCCTCACATATCACAAAAATACGTTTTTTTAGCTAGAGTGCAGAGCATTTTCTTTGTATCTTCTCCCTTTTCTGACCAAGATAACATTGTAGTTTTTGACAAGTACAGTAAACTGGTTTCTTAGGGAATGATAACAGCCATGGTCTTCTGCTGAACTTTATTTCCCAGCAAGTTTGTTCTTCTGATTGGACTCACTTGAATCTTTTGCTTGGTCTCTTCCATTGCTTGCATTTGTGCTAGAGTCCTCTGCTTCATATTCTGGACTCCTCTGCGCTTTTGTAGGTAGAATCTCATGTCACACTTCATATTATCTTCATGATTGTGTTCTGTTGAAGACTATATGGGAAAATATTTATTTCTCTCTGTCTGAAATTCACCGAGCACATTTGTGCATACTTCATAAATAGTCCAGTACTCTGCTAATGAAGGTGTGGTTGTTGTTGTTAGCTCATTTGAAGCTAAAATTTAACTCTCTTTCATACTTAGTTTTCTGTATTAGGTGGACTATTTAAATTTTTTTCTGACTACTTTTTTATTGTGGTTCTGAATAGTATGGATCATCAGGTGAAATGTCTCCTGTTATGCAGGTGTCAAATTAGATATTTAATGGCCTGTTCTGGCTTCAAAATCTAGGAATGCTTCATGATTGCACACAAAGTTTTGAGGAAGAAAAAAAAAAAATCTAAAGGCAGTTGTTCATAAACACTGTTTTGACTGCCACATTTTTTTTTCTAGTTCATACTGCTGTTATTTTGCCTGTATTTGCTGTGGTATGCAGGTGTACTTATACTCAAATGACTTCTGCTTTTGACTGTGCTGCAGGCCTTTACTCACAGAAATTGTGAGGACAATGTATACGATTTAACATAGTATTCTTTAGTATAAAATTATGTTAATAAATCTGACAGCTGTTTCTATTTTCTGCTGTAGTAAAAAGAAAGTTTGATCTGATGGAGCCAGAACTACTTTAAGTCAAATACTGCAAACCCAGCTTCATTAATTTCAGTGGTGCAGACAGTAGAGCAGGCTACTAAAAATTTCAGGGAGAGAGAAAAATTATGTTTGCAAATGTTGTAACTATTGAAAGGTTATACTTGATTTCACTTTGAAATAATCTGTTTTCTTGTGCCCTTAAAGGTTCTAAAAATCAGAAACATGTCTTAAGACCAGAGTCCCTTGAAGGAACAGATGAAGAGGATCCAGTTACAGCGCTGGAGTGGGACCCTTTGTCAACTGACTACCTTCTTGTTGCTAATTTACATAATGGTATTCGACTAGTTGATTCTGAATCTCTGTCCTGTATCACAACTTTTAATTTTCCCAGTGCAGCAGCATCTGTTCAGTGTTTAGCCTGGGTTTCCAGTGCACCTGGAATGTTTATAACTGGAGGTAAGGCTTTTCTTTCCTGATTTATCCAAAGGTAATAAATATAGGACTGAGTCTTCAAAATTGATGCTTCAAGTTTGAGCTTTCTTAACATTTCTACAAATAAAAGCATATATGCATTGTCAAAAGATATAAAACTGTACAAAAGAACAAAACTACACTGAGCAGTTTTTACTTGTTTTGTGTTTGTTGGGTACATAAGCAAGTGACTTTAAACTATTTTTTACACTAAAACAGTATTTTCCTCATGCACACTTTAGTAACAAGTATGAGAGTTACTTTGGGAATAGGAATAAAAATGCATTGTACTAGTGGATGTCACTTCTCGATCCCCTGCTTTTCCTTCTCTATTTTCAGAATGACTAAAAAAGTAAAAGAATCTTATTTCCTGACTCTTTTCTATACCATAGACATTACTGCTCAGGTTGAACTGATGGATAAGGAAAGTGAGACTGTGAGAATATTTTGTAACAGGAGAGGTTCCATAGAGTTTGTCTACTGAAGTTTAAATAACTAATGTTAATAATTATTGTTGTTAACAGTGGTATTTCCACAGTGATGACAGTGCCTGCCTATAGAATTCTTCTTAGAATTCTAAGTTTAATTCATTGTTGTATTTTTACTTAAATCAGTCCTTAAACTGCATACCTCTGTGTACAGTAAAAAGAGGATAATAAAAAATAAATGATTTTGTATGGGTTTTTTTTTTAAATCTCAGATTCTCAGGTTGGTGTATTACGCTTTTGGAATGTTTCACGTACAACACCTATAGATAATTTTAAATTGAAGAAAACTGGTTTCCATGGTTTGCACGTGCTAAGTTCTCCTCCAAAGAAAAAGTGTAAGTGTAATTTTGATTGTTATTCATTGCAATGGCTGCAAGTTAAGAAAATCTTGTTTGTGAATCTTGTTACATCTGAGTTGCTCTCTGTAGTTCTTAATTAAACAGAGAACCCTCTGGTGCCAGTGGACTAGACAAACATGTAAAGGATGAAGCGCTTTATAAGGTCCTTCTTTAGTAGGCCATACTTCATACAATAATTCTCCATTTCTTTTGTTTTTAATCTCATTGGAATACAAAGCATTTTACTGTTTATAATTGTTAATTATTATTAAATGAAAAAGTAAAAAATAATCTTGTCTGTTTCTGTCTTTTGCTTTATTTTGTTAAGCATGTTCATCACAATATCCTACTAAAAATCACCATACATCCTCAACAAGTGAGGCTGTTCCTCCTCCAACTTTAACCCAAAACCAAGCATTTTCTCTTCCTCCTGGTCATGCTGTCTGTTGCTTCATGGATGGTGGAGTGGGGCTTTATGACATGGGAGCCAAAAAGTGGGATTTCCTTAGAGATTTGGTACGTTTCATCTCTGTCTTTGGAATGAGTGTTTATTTGGCTTATACACTTTCTTCTAACAGCAATAAATGGAGAATGAAGTCTTCACAGCACTGTGGAATAGTTTCTATCATTAAAAAGAGTCTAAATTTCTAAGAAACAAAATGACAGTTCTTAAATTGAAAGTTCTTTATTGCAAAGACTGAATCCTGTTGGAAGTATTCTGGCAGTTTGTTTTCATCCAGAAATAAACATTTAAGGGCTTGAGTTTTGTTTTGTTTTTTTTTTTTAACTGACATTTTAATTTGATGGCCTTCTCAGAAATATTTTCTGGAGGGTTTTCTATAATCCAGAATAGAAGTTCTAGTCAAATCAGAGAGAAAAATGTGTGCAACTCAGATGGTGAAGTCACTCAGTTTAAAATGACAAAGACTGAATTATTAAATCTTCTTTGAAGCAGAAATTCAAAACTGGGTTTGTCACATATTGGGTGAGCCTCTTCCTCACTGTGCTTGTGGTTATTCTTGAAGATTCTTCTCTTTTCCTCTTTCCCCGTTCCATTTTCATTGGAAAAACTTGAATGTTTTTCAGCTGTACTCCCATATGTGTTTGAATAGAGGCTGCTGGTTTGTGTCGGTTTTCCATTTTTAATGGTTTTGGTCCTGTAAAGCAACTAAGTCTTAAAAAATTCTTACATATTATCTGTTTCTCATGTACGTGTCAAGTGAGATTCTAAAAATGCAGGTCCTAGAAAACAGCCAATTGACATGTGAATTTTCTAATGGATTGAAGTTTAAACTGGAACAGAGCATAGACCGTATTTAGAGACATAGAAAACTCAAGGGAATACTAGAAAACCTGTAGAACATGATCAACATACAAAGCTTTATTTTTTCAGTCAGATACTTTTTATCTAAAGGGCACAATTATTTCCGGTTTTAAAAATCAATTTTTCTTGGGGTTTTTTTTTAGCTTATTTTTTTTTAATTCTGTTTTATAGCAACTCTGTTCCAACAAAAAAAGCTAACAAGTCCCTGGTATTGCATTGCCCTGTTGTTTCAGGGCAGAATTTTTGTATATTTAATAATGATCTGTGAAAAGGAGGAGTGTTAAGAGTCCAAGATATTTTATGCCTTTTAATTTTGACTGATGTGCCATAACACAGAGGTTTTTTTGGAACTCATAATTGACCTGACAGGTTATAATACAATATATTGTAGAGTTTGATCTAGAGTTGGACTTCTGGAAAAAAATCAACTGTAATAAAAATGGATTAAATATTTGTTTCATTTAAGGGACATGTTGAGACCATCTTTGATTGCAAATTCAAACCTGATAACCCTGATCTTCTTGCTACAGCTTCATTTGATGGCACAATAAAAGTTTGGGACATAAATACTTTAACAGCGGTTTACACATCTCCTGGTAATGAGGGGGTTATTTATTCCCTTTCTTGGGCTCCAGGTAAGAATATTTTGCTTTAGCTCTAAATGTTCTTTGAATTAGCATTGACCAGCAGAATTTGTATTATAAAAGTATTAGTTTTAGGTGGAAGGACATCTTAGTGAGTTTAAACATAACTGAAGTATTATCTGTGAAACCTGTAGAATTCAGTGCTTCAGACCTTGTTGAGGCTTACCCTTGTGAGGAATGATCTCAGTATTTCATACTGAGTCAGAATGGAGTGAGGAAAATCTCCAGAACCTTTCTAGCATTACATTATGCAGATGATTAAAAGGCTTTCTTTGCATGGGAAGCAGCTAGTTAAAGGAATTCAGATTCTATTTTGTGCTGAAAAAGTGGAACATACATGTTCAGTTCTTTCTCTTCCTTCTTTGTGTAGGATTCTAATCACTGAAGAGCTCTGCTTTTACTTTATTAGCATAGGGAGTATCTTTCCTGCAAAGCATCTTCTGTTTCTCAGAGAAGTCACTGAAGTCAGTGGGAAATTTTCTTCTTAAAGCTGTTCTGCAGCCCATTTAGGTGAACCTGGGAGTACATGTCTAATAGTTACTAATGTCAGTAGTTGATGATGGCTAGGCTTTCTTGTTGCACTTTCATTTTTTGGGCAGAAGATGCATTTTTTTAAAAGGTCTAAATAATTCAACTCACTACCTTTCTCTCCTATGCTTTTAAACTCTAAGAAATAATAGCTGACAGGAAAAAATACTGTGATGGGAAGCTTAATGTAGTGTGCATATGTGAAATGAATTTGCACTTTTTTAATTTCAGAAAGTTTTGCACCTTGTTCCTCTTCACGGATAATCTGTCTTGCTATATGGAAATTATGGCAATATGAAATATGATGTTTACTTGTGTGTTATTTTATTTTGAAATTTAAATTCAGAATTCAGTTTGTAGTAGTGTCTCATATTGAGAGAATAGTTTGTGCACTGGGGGGGTGCTTTTCTAGTGTTGTATCCTGATTTTTTTTTTTTTTTTTTTTTTTTACAAAAAGGTAAATTTAAGCTAATTGGAAGAACGTGCTTCAACTTCAGTTCCTTACCATCCTGTCCAAAAGTTCCTGTCCATCCCAGACAGAACCTCTCCTGCTTCTTTCACATCTCTTACTCCTAAAGAGTTCCTCCCCACTTTGTACTTTATTCCTAATATATAAGCCAATGCATGCTACCGTTTTATTTGATCTCAAAAGACCTTTGAACATAGCGATGACTCTTTTTTCTTTTCTTTTCTTTTTTTTTTTTCCTCTGTAATTCTATCTGTATCTCTTTCCATTTTATATATATACCTTTCTAGACTCCCCCTACATAGATTGCCTTTTCCACCTGTGAAGTCTGGTATAAAATAACAGTCAAAAGTTTTATATAAATGTGCCATATAGCTATTTATGAAAAGTATAGCTATATTGGGATAGAGGGTCACTGTGGTGAGGAGAATTTGGTGGCTTTTGGATTAGGCCTGAATGCAGTTTTCAGGTTCTTACCATGGAGTTGTATATTCAGATTTTGCACCTTGTAGAGTATGGTTACAGATTCAGGTACGTTCTTGATGGGCCTAGATGCTGCAGTGGCAAAGATAAGAAAACAAAGTAGTGTTAGAAGTTCTGTCACATTCTTCCTGATTTGTCTTAGTACACAGGGAACTTTAAAAGAAAATGCTGTAGTTGCTACCACTTTAAGCTTGAAACACTAAGATTGTATAAAGTTTGAGTCATACGCATCATGGACGTTATTTTCTTGTCAACTTAACTTTCAGCAGGCATTGAGAATACTTTTTACAACAATACAACTTTTATTTTGTCCTTTCCTCAAAACAGGAAAGTAGAAAAGCAGGCCGGGCTTTTGTTGAAATTGATGTTTGTGACTTAGTATCAAACGCTGGCCTTAAACTACTAAAAACTCTTGTTTATTTGCTATTGGTGTCCTCTGTTTATATTACTGTTCTTGAATTTAAAGTAGAAACACATTAGTCAAACAATATTGTGATCTTATATTTATTGTGAGATCTTACAAATTTCTTTCTCTAAAGGAGATCTGAACTGCATAGCAGGTGCAACATCCAGAAATGGTGGCTTCATCTGGGATGTCCCAAAAGGCAAAATGATAACCAGATTCAGTGAGGTAAGAGGAGATTGCTTCTTTTTTTTGTCTATGTGAAATGTAAGTTAGTCGTTCCCTCTAGTGTCAATAAATAAAGATGGGTCAAAGTTCATATGTTTTTAAAAGGTGCTATAATATAAACATCTATATAAATAGTTATGTGGGTGCTAGCTTATCTCTGAGGCAGAAGTATTTGTACTTCCTCAGACTGGTTTGTGACATAAGAAAGATGAAGCACCCGATGGTCTCCATTGTCTTAAAATTGGTCCTGATACACAGCAAAAGCATTACTGATTCCTTCTTAAAAGTGTAAATGTATACGGACGTACAGACTTTAAACTGGATATCAAAATGTAAAAAGATGTTCTGTGTTTTCAACTGTAAGGCCCAGAAAAAAAATTCAGTCCCTGAAGTCTAGACAATAAAGCTCCATTTTGCAGCACGCTAAACAGTACGCCTTATTTAGAATCTTGCCTTGAATTACGTGAAATCTACACAGGCGTTTGCAAGTCCTGAAGCAGTAGCTTAATTGGCAGGAGGAGCTATTTAATACTGTGTTGTATTATTCTACACTATTTTGTGTATTCTAAGTATAGAGCTGTCATCTTCAGATCATACAGACATAATGTGGCATCTGCATCAGAGCACAAAGGATTCTCTTTAAGAAGATAGAGACGGGGGGGTGGAGGGGTGGGCAGGAGACAAATACACATACATACACTCGGGAGTTCCTGCGTTTGAAAGCTCAGAAGATTTGCGCTTGTGCTACTAAACATCTTTTCTCAAACTCTCGTCCTGATACATGTTCCACTTAAGTTTTCACGTACCGCAATTATTTATGCCCACTAACTTCGTCATTCCAACAAGTAGCTAACCTTTATTCAAGCTTCAGGTTTATATAGTTATACTCATTCTTTAACTTGACCCAGCTTTGTCTCTTGGATCCTGGAGTGTGGCAGCTTTACTGTCTCTCTCCTCAGTCCCAGTTTTTTGGAATTGAATTCTCAAATATCCCAGCTATATTGGGGACTCATTATAATGGGGTTTTGTACAGTACACTTTACTGGGAGGAAAGGCCTGAAGCCCATAGGAGAACAGAATAAAAAAAGATGAGTCAATAGATGAGAGAAAAAGGGGTGAATTATTTCTTATTGATAGGTATTTTGCATTTTTTGAAGCATGGAAAGAATGGAATCTTCTGCATTGCCTGGAGTCATAAAGATTCCAAAAGAATAGCAACCTGCAGCAGTGATGGATTTTGGTGAGTGTTATTGGAAGAAAAAAATAATTGCTAAATGCACTTCTCAAGTCACTAAACAGTTTGACAGTACTATTAGTGATTAATTATAAAATTTTTCTTACTGGACAAAACTTGGATTATATTAATCTCCTGTACTTATTAGGATATATTTTTCATGATTTTAAGAAAAAAATAAAGGAAATGTTTGCATTATATCAGATACTCTGATAGTGAAACTGAATATTGATTTTTAGTTAGCCAAGAATATTCTTCTAGGTTTCTTATCGGTAGATACAGAGGACACATTTCAAAAGCCATCCCACTTTACTTGTCTCAATTTTTTAATTTTTTTTTTAAGTTTATTATCTCAAGGACTAGAAATCACTATTTTAGAACAAAGTAATTGCAGTTGTACTCTTACAGCAGTGTAATAGCTTACCTGTAAAAACTTGCATCTTGCAAATGCCCATTGAGAACAATTTTGCATGTATTGTGTTTCAGTACATTTTTTTAATCCTTGTTCATTCTTTTCCCTTTCTACCCACGTTATTTCAGCTCAAACATAACAAGCATGAATTTCAGAAAACAATCAATTATTTAATTATTTTTTTAAAAATCCCTAAAAATCTATTTGTACCCTAAAGCCATAGCTACAACTCAGATTTTGGGCTATGAGGATCCTTTCAGGGAGGGTAGTACCACAGTGGACATCTTTATAGCCCTTCTGAAGGAACATGGACTTTGAAGTCCAATTAAAATATTTTGTTGGGAAATACATAGTTAGCCTTGTGATTGAGGGGCTGTAGGAATAAAGATTTCTCATATTTTTTCTGCATACTTTTTTTGCTATCTGGCTTATTTGCACAGATTCAAACTTGACTTTTGAATAGCCTACTGAGAATGGTTTTTTTCCTCATAATATTACATTGTAATTGGTTTCAGTATTATTCGAACCATTGATGGCAAGGTTCTTCACAAGTACAAACATCCAGCTGCAGTGTTTGGCTGTGATTGGAGTCAAAACAACAAGTAAGTAAAAATTAACTGAAAGAATTGATGATATTTACTATTTAAATTGATTACCAGTAAAGTAACACAAAATTATTTAGGATGTGACATATACTGTGATATTAGAGCACTGAAATTGTTTCTGTTCCATAGTAGGATTTATCTGTAGCAGCTTTATATTCACAGTAGTGTATTTCATTGCCCAGCATGAACTTGCTTCTCTTTCAAAAGAGGGTCTTTTCATACCAATAAGAGAGGAAAAAAAATTCTCTGACTGAGGAAAAAAAAAAGTAGACATTGAGTACCAGGAAAGAGGGGTTTCGATTGGCTTCCTTTTAATGACTACTAAGCTGAAGATACAGCAGGCAACTAAATACACTGTGATATATGTTAATTTTTCAGCTAATTGCTAATAACAACATGAGATCTTTTTGTCAAAAAACAATTATACAGTAATTCAGTCTATTAATAGTTGTGTATTGGGTGCTTGGTCAGACTGTAGTGCAAATACTATTCCCTATTGCAACTAATGGATCTTTATCAGGGTTTTTTCTGATTTAGTATATTTAATTCAGTAATCAATAATTACATTACAAAGAGACCAAGAAGAAGCAGAAGTATGCTGGGTTTTAAAGTAAATTTCAAGATACATGTCATATTTATTTTTAAACGAAAAAAAAAAAGTGCTTTTGATGATCCCTGTGACTGATGATTTTACTTTTTTTATTTTGCAGGGACATGATAGCTACTGGTTGTGAGGATAAAAATGTTCGTGTTTACTACTTGGCAACCAGCTCTGATCAGCCACTGAAAGTTTTTACAGGGCATACTGCAAAGGTGTTTCATGTACGGTGGTCTCCTCTGAGAGAAGGAATCCTCTGCAGTGGCTCTGATGATGGGTGTGTATTTCTGAACTATTAGAAAACTTAAAACCTCAAGCAGAGCTATTAGAGAAACTTAAGATCTTTAGTTGTGCTAGTGCTGGCACCTTTGAAAACTGTAAATAATACAGTAGTCTACATCTCTGCCTTGTTCAGATTCAGGGATATCTTTGCGGTTAGCTTAATATAGTGTTTGGGCAACAGGATCACTATCTAAATTGTCACAACTGCTGTAGCAATGCAACTTCCAAAATGCTTTCCCAAGCGTAGAATCAGAATCAGTGGCTGATACCTGTTACTCCCAGGAATGATACAAGGGGGACACCACATGCTTACAATATGTCTAAAGATATGGGTGCAAGACCTGCTCTTGTTTGATGTCTTTCAAAAGTATAATTAAGTAGAATCTGTGGAGATTTTTAGTAAGTGCTTGGTACTTCTGTTTTGTTGGTTTTGATGACGTTTTTTGAGGGAGAGCACATCTCCTTCAAGGGAGGGAGGATGTAAGCAGGAGGAAGGATTTTTCTATGATTGTAAGCCACTTCCCTGCAGAATATACAAAACGTTTTTGTGAAGGATCACAAGTTTGGAGTATTGACTTCCATTGCTTTCCCTGATATCATTCGTTAGATGTCTATGCTTGCAGCAAAATCTGTTAGTTCATAGTGTAATAGTTCATGAAAGAAACCAACTTGATAACAAACTTCTGTCATGTCAGTCCTCTCTATTTCATATGAGCAAGAAGTATTAAATCCAAAATTCTGTCACAGTGTTATTTTGAGATATTATGACTTTATTACCAAGCATGGCTATGTAATAAGACTTGATTACAGGGGGATTTCCAGAATACAGTTACACTTTCACTTTGAGGGAAGGGAGTCACTGAATAACTTAGTCCCAGGTAACACAGAAAGTAGGCAGTCTTTTGAGTTTATTGTACTTGGTAATACTCCTGTTCATAGACAAACTCAGAACTATTTCAGATTATCTGTTTAGCACCTAGGCTTATACAGTACATAGGAACAGTATGCAAGTCACACATGAGCACATCTTGCTGTAGGACAATACGTATGTAAATATAGAAAATGGCCTTCTAACTTCTGGATTCTGTTTTGTGATGCAAGGTCTATCAAATGGCCCCCTTGCAGCACTGGAGAAACTGTAATAGGTGGCTTTGCTGCTACGAGTGAGTGTTGGTAACATATTTGATAATTTAATAAAATTTATCCAGAATTACAATGATCTTTTCAAGAAACTGAACCTTTAACTTCCTAATTCTGTAGTCTGCTCAATTAGCTGTACCCAGCTAATAACAACTATTGAAAATAGAAGGAAATGTTGGAAACTTACTTGATTAAAAGGGAATTAAAAAATAGTGAGAAAGCTGGTATGATTTCTTCCTCGTTACTTGTGTAATTGTCGTGGGAGTTTCACAATTTAAGATAGTGTGGTGTCCACTTCTGCCATGTGACAAATGCCACGCTCAGAGGAGAGGAGAGGAGACATGCAACAAAAAAGAAAAACTGCTGACAGTCTGTTTGTCATAGCAAATTGACACATTTTGTGTTGTGTCAACTTCTTTGACCTCAAAAACCTGTATGTCTTGCCTTCAAGAGGCACATTGCAACGACTGCCAACCAGTGTTTGGAGGTTTTCAAACAATGTTGCATTTTAGGGAAACAGTGCCTAAAACATAAAGCGGTTTGTTCCTCTATAATGTGATAATCACTACTTTGTGGGACACGTAGTTCTCTTGGAGTTCTTTAATGAACTAGAATAGCATAAAATAGAATATTTCAGTTGGAAGGGACCTACAATGATCATCTAGTCCAACTGACTGACCACTTCAGGGCTGGCCAAAAGTTAAAGCATGTTGCTAAGGGCATTGTCCAAATGTCTCTTAAACACTGACGGGCTTGGGGCATCGACCACCTCTCTAGGAAGCCTGTTCCAGTGGTTGACCACCCTCTTGGCGAAGAAATGCTTCCTAATGTCCAGTCTGAACCTCCCTTGCTGCAGCTTTGAATCATTCCCACTAGATCCCAACGAGAAAAGCTCAGCACCTCCCTCTCCACTTCCCCTCC